ATCTTTCACACTGCCATTGGAGGTACATTTCTAAAATGCAAATAAGATTTTGGCACTCCTAAGTCCGCTCCCTATTACCTCCCAGATAAAGTCCAATCCGTTTGTATAACATACAAGGCCCTTTGCAATCTGGTTTAACTTTTCAGTGTAATAATCTCTTGCTCTTCCTGCCAAATCCCATGATTCAAATCTAATAGTTTTAGATTTCATTGAACTATTAAATATTGCATTATTTTCATCTTTTGAAAATGGCCCTAAAAATAATGTCTTGTTAGTGTTTATTAACTGTAAAATTTGGGGCTTTCATAAAACATCTCAAAAACTATTAAAGTCTAACCAAACCAAGGACTCCCTGTGAACATGAGCAAAAGTGTGTCACCATTATCTATGTAGAAAAGATAGGTTGATTTATCCTATAATTTATCGATGTGCAAAGATCTGTTCTCAGCAGGATGCAAAAAGTGGCAGCATTTCTCTCTTTTTTTAATTTTTTTTAAAGATTTTATTCATTTATTTGAGAGTGAGAGAGAGTGAGAGGGAGAAGCAGACTCCCTGCTGATCAGAGAGGCTGATGTGGGACTTGATCCCAGGACTCTGGGATCATGACCTGAGCCGAAGGCAGACGCTTAACCGACTGAGCCACCCAGGCACCGTGGCAGCACTTCTCTACTGTCCCAGGTCAGGATTAACCTGATACTCTAAGCACATCTCCTGAAAAATTTGAAAAAGAAAATTGAAGGAAGAAAATATTACGTCCCTGTTTTCAAGAGGGGAGCAGGAGTTTTGCTCAAACGCACACTGACTCAAGCCCCTGTACTAGAGGTATTCTAGGTATTCCTTCTGTAATTACTCAACTGACTCTCCCACATGTATTTCCAATTTTGCAACCAACCTTCCTTACTGTTCTTGCTCTGTACCACTAATATAGTGATCTTACAGGTCAAGAAATGATATAAGTAAAGTGGGAAAAGAATAAGACAGCCAATTTAGGAAAATTCAGTTTTCATTACGGATCTGTCTGCACATTTTCATGAAATTAAGTTCACTTTAAAACAATAGGAAGCAGTCATTAACATAGATGTAATAAATTGAAAAAGGTCTCAAGTAAGAAAAAAGCGTATTACAAAAGAAAGAATATAGGATTATAGGAAAGGAAAAATATACTGGTGATACAAAAAACTGGGTAATCATCATCATGGGAGTCTAGGAGGGGGAAAATAAAAATGTTATACTGACCGAGGGCAGTTCAAGAGGCCATAGCTCAAATAATCCTGAGTACACCATCAAAGAAAAGCTATACTCTTTTTTTTATTTTTAAATGGAGCATAGAATAATTCTTTAGGCTCTCCTATACTCTTTAGCACTGCTATTGTCTTTCCCTACCGGTTCTTGGTGTTTTGTCTAAGAGGTTATATTAACCTTAGACTCACGTAGCTGATCTCAAGCCTCTTTAAGTCAATTTGTCCCTCTCTACCAGCATCAGTTTGAAAATCGTAAAGGCTTGTTTTTCAGATGCTGGGTATCTCTTCTGTGCCTGATCTCAGAGCTGGTTAAGAGGTAGATTTGCATTTGATCCAACAAGATCCTACCTTACTTCCAAGTTGCTTCTGCCTGGCTTCCCTTATGAAACACAGCAGACACCACAGACTAGTCCTGGAGGTTGCGGGTATAATAAACACCCTGTGTCCCTCTTCCACTAAGCACTGTAAGATAAACATTCTAATTGTTCCCAGGCGCTCACTCTCTGGACTACAACGTCCTTTTGTTTGTATTCAGGAGTAAGGTGAATTATTTACTTCTCAGCTGTGGCTAGCTTAGCCATAGTGTCTTTAAAAACAGCCCGAGATCACTGAACTTGGCAGTATTCTTAGAATCAAGCAGCACAACAGAAAAATTCAATAAATTATACTTTCAGAACAGGAAATTTGACAACCTCATGTGGCAATCCATTTTAACGATTAATAAATCTGCTGTCTAAAAGCATTGCCATTTATGGCATGACTTTAAGTGACAGTTTGAGCCTGTTTTATCTTGTTTTGTCATCAGTGTACATGGCCACTCTTGGCCACTGTCCTGTTAATCATAGAGCCTTTCCTTTATCTTGTCTGTAATTCCATTTTCTACTTTTTTTTTTAACTTTAGATGCTTCTTTACAGCTCTCATGTTACCTTAGGTTCTAAGATCTCTACTTTGCTCTTAAAGCTTTTGCTGTCCAAAAACTCACAAAAAAAACCAGGCTCTTGACTATAGAGAACAAACTGGTGGTTGCAGAGGGGAGGTGGGTGGGGGGATGGGTGAATAGATAAAGGAGATCAAGAATACACTAACCATGCTGAGCACTGAGTAATGTATAGAATTGTTGAATCACCATATAGTACATTTGAAACTGTATGTTAATTACACTGGAATTTACAAAAATATATTAAAAAACCTCTTCAACAAAATATCTTTGGGTGAAAAAAAAAAGTAATGTATATTTTACACAGCTGATGTATCAACCAGTAAATATAGTGCCTGCCAGTGTGTAGACTAATGCCTACTAAACTTCAGAAAATTTTTGTATAAGAAGTTTTTGGTGGCAGGGAGAATACCATCAAGGGATTAACATGAATGGGAGCCAGGAACGGAACTGCAGTAGCTAACACAGGATACCAAGAGTGGATGGGGAGATTTTTTTCAACAACAGAGGTCACGGTGAGAAAGGAAGGTTGTTCGCCAATAAGGTCCAGGTGTGAAGAGAAGGCACAAATGTTCCGCCCGGGGATATTTGTTGTTGTTGTTGTTTGTTTGTTTGTTTGTTATTTCCCCTGAGTATCTAATATAGTAAACAAACTTACAGATTTAGGTGGAGCTCCTTCATCTACTGAGTGGGAGACAGGACTAGGATAAAATGTGCCTTGCCCTTTATAGTTAAAACATTTGGAGGGTTGCTAAATTACTATTCTGTGGCATCAATCACTGTTTATTTGGAAATAAAATGGATTAAAAAAAAGTAGTGGCTGTCAGAATTGGCGGATGTCCCGGTAGAGGATCCATTAGCATTGAACGCACAAGGAAACTGGCCTGATGGTCCTTGCATACCAGAAAGAAGTGCAGTGCTTCCTTGCTCCTTCATGGTCAGCTAATGATTCACTTTGACCCTACACGGTTTGCTGGCCTATATCTGTATGGCCACAGGTCCTTTCTGCCTTTTCTTTTTGATGGTTTAGTTTGTCCTTGCTGTTTGTGTTGTACCTGCCCCCACTCAACACTGTGTTCTTTGTTTCCAACTCTTCTCCAGTTTTCCAAGGTCATTTTGAATTCTGATGCAGCCTTATGGATCGTGGTTATTGATATTGCCTGAGAGGGTTGAGAACATAGCTTCTGTTCTCTCATCCGGGTCTACACTAGGCTTGCAACAATTTACTTATGTATCAGCAAGTATCAGTGAGAAAATCTAAAGGGGGGAATTTCACCCACTATAGCAACAAATTACATGAAATACCTAGAAGCCAGCTTAAGAAAAACATGTAAGGCTCATGTACACAAACATACACAGCTACTGAGCTATAAAATGATTTTTTGCACAGGTTTTGTAGCTGAGAAGGACTTAGCATTTGCCCCGAAGTCATTATGGTGAGTGAGTGAAGTGAGTGAATGCTTGGGCTCCTAATGCAGGGGTGGGAAGCCACAACACTGTGACTTTTTACTTCTAAATCCACAAAATCAAGGATATTCGGAGGGTATCATGTCACCTGCAACCCAAATTACAATAGAAACACTAATTACAAAGAGCATTTGGTCAGGTTGCCCTGTTTCTTATAGGCAATTGTTTCTAGTTTTGTTTAGGAGAAAATATAGGCATTTTTGTTTAGAAATTAAAAAACAGGGGCGCCTGGGTGGCTCAGTTGGTTAAGTGTCGACTCTTGGTTTCAGCTCAGGTCATGATCTCAGGGTTGTGAGATCGAGCCCCACGTGGAGCTCAGGGCTCAGCTCGGAGCCCTCCCTTTCCCTCCCCCTCTGCCCCCCTCCCTCCGCTCATGCTCTCTCTCTCACTCTTAAATAAATAAATAAATAAAATCTTAAAGAAATTAAAAAACATCATGAACTTAGTGGACAGAATATTCGGAATAAAGCTTAGCTTTCATTTGATGTCACAGGTTCAAAAGAACAAAGGGAAGTCAGGAGCTTTTTCTAATCAAATCCTGGTCCTGCCATTTAACAGCTGTGTACTTGGGGTAAGTCTATCTATCTCTCTGAGCCTTAGATTACACACAACCTCAGCTGTTTACTTTTCCAGGTTGTTGTGAATACATGAGAGAGGAAATCAAAGCATGGATTGTACACTATTAAATGGAGCAGTGCTGTTTTAAGTTGAATTCGGGATTCAAAAGAGAAAGAGAAGTAATATAATTTTTTGGAGTGGTGGTCTTAGGTCAAGTACTTCATCTGTTTCGTCTTCTTTAATATTCATAACTATCTTGTAAGGTGGTTATTATTATTCCCATTTTATACATGAGATATTAAAGCTCAGAGAAGTTAAGTAACTTGCTCTTCATAACCATGATGAGGAAATGAGATTTAAGTGGGCCGGGCATTTTCTTCATTTTAGGAGAGGTGAATCAAAGTCCAGAATTTGTCATGATCATCAACTGGGCAAAACGAAGATTTAAACATAATCTTTTTCACTGTCAGCTCATTGGTTTTTTTTTTTTTTTAACTTTTTTGGTTTTCTGGGTTTTGTTTTGTTTTGTTTTTTTTGCATCAATAGAGGAAGTGTATGACTAGATATTTCTTGATGTTACAGAATTACTATTAATTCAAAAGTATGAGAAAGATATTATGGTTATTATTATTTTTTAAAGAGTTGTTATGGACTGAATGTTTGTGTCTCTCAAGATTCATATGTTGAAACTCCCTACCCATGTGATGCTATTAGGAGATGGGGCCTGTAGGAGATAATCAGGGTCAGATGAGGACATGAGGATGGAGCCCTCCTGGATGGGATTGATGCCGTCAGAGCAGGAGAGAGCTTATTTCCTCTCTCTGCTCTCCGCCATGTGAGGACTCAGCTGGAAGTCAGCAGTCTACAGCTTGGAGGTGGGCTCCCACCAGAACCTGACCCTGCTGGCACCCTCATCTCAGACTTCCAGCCTCTGGAACGGTGAGAAAGAAATTTCTGTTGCTTATAAGCTCCTCATTTTGTGGTATTTTGTTATAGCAGCCAAGCTGATTTTAAAAGGCCCCTTCTTTCTTTTTTTTTTTTGCATTTTTAAAACGTTTTATTGTTATGTTAATCACCATACATTACATCATTAGTTTTTGATGTAGTGTTCCATGTTTCATTGTTTGCATATAACACCCAGTGCTTTCTTTTAGATTTTATTTATTTATTAGAGAGAGAGAGAGAGGACAAGCAGGGGGAGCTGCAGAGGGAGAGGGAGAAGCAGGTTCCCCACTGAGCAGGGAGTCTGATGCGGGACGCCATCCCAGGACCCCGGGATCATGACCTGAGCTGAAGGCAGACGCTTAGCCAACTGAGCCACCCAGGTGCCCCAAGTTCTTTCTTTTAGTCCTTTCCTCTACCTTCTAGAAAATTTACCAATTAATAGTTACAATTTCTGGAATTTGTTTTAAAAATTGCTCGGAGGTGAAGGGGATTGGTGTGGGTTGGGGGTATACATGAAACAAAGCTAGTATGAGTTAATAAATTATGAAACTGGGTGATGAGATCTGATTCTAAGTCCCCTTGATTCCAAAGTCCATACACTATTTTATCAGGTGTGATCTCCAAACACCATCTATTATAATACCATATTTCTTGGGTCTCCTCTAAATGAAGTGAAGCAGTGATTTTGAAAACCACCTATTATGATGCACTCTTCTTGTCTTCTGCATTTTTGTTAACCCACTCTAAAGGAGTCAGGTCTTGGGAAAGGAAATAGAAAGTGTATGTTTTCCCTTTGGGCAATATTCTGTGATAGCTCAGGCCACTCTTTCTACTGACTGACATGGTCCAGATTCATGCAATGCTTCCTTTAGTTTGTTTGCAGAGATTTATCACCCCAGAGGAAGCGTCTGAGTTGTTGCTGATGCTGTGTGGTTTAGTTGTCGAGACTGCAAGTGATTCCCCAAATCTTCAAATAACACTATGGGGAACTACCTCCTGATGCCACCACACACATATTTTCTACTGAGCTTTCTATGGCTCCTCAAATCCAAATTGGAAATTATCTGCTCACCCAGAAGTGGGATTATCATGAAGTTATTAAGGTTTAAGCTTCAGGGCTTACCACTTGTCGGGCTGCTTCCAAGGCCCCAGCAATAGGTTAGTGTCATGAATTCAAAGAGTACCTTATTATGTCCCTGCCAAGAAAACTTGAATTGCTCTGTCATCTTAACAGTTGGTTTATGATAAAAACTTGATGTTTTCCAAGTTTGACAACAGTCCTAGAAATGACATTGGGAATGGTGAGCAGTGAACATGAAAGAAACTTTTCTAATCTATCAGTAACGAGAAAAACTTTGATCAAGTTTGTTGATCAAAGTAAGTCTGGAGCCCAGCTCTTTGGGGGGACACCTCAGATCTGTCACGTGTAACCCTGGGCAAGTTACTCAGCTTTTCGGCTCTTCAGTTTTTTTTTTCTCCATGTGTGACCTGGTGGATAATAATAGCACCTAGCTCATGAGGTTGTCGTGAGGATTAAGTGAAATAAAACTGCTTAGAACAATGCCTGGGAAATAATGGGTGCTCGATAAGTTTTGTTAGTGTCATTCTCTTTCTCATTTGTTATCTCAGATCTGCTAAGGACTAAGAAACCAGATAATCAGGCTTTTTCAAACTCTAAATAAGATAAAATTAAATGGTCTTTGGGTGAATGGCTCCCCAACTAGCCCACGAGGAAAGTGTTTGAGCATTAGCGCAGCTGTTCTGTTCAGGCAGGAAAAGCTGTAATGAGGCATCATTCTGGCAAGAGGGCTGCGCACCTGACTTGCTTCTTCTAATCAACAGAATCTTGACTCCTGTTATTGGTCTAGACAGAGAATTTTAATGTTATACGAAAGTATTCTTTATTTTTTTATTTTTTAAACTAAAAGAAATTTAAGTTTTTATTTAAATTCCAGTTAGTTAACATACGGTGTTATATCAGTTTCAGGTGTACAATATAGTGATTCAACACTTCCATACAACACCCAGCGCTCATCTCAGCAAGTGCTCTCCTTAATCCCCATCACCTGTTTCACCCATCCCCCAACCCACCTCCCCTCTGGTAACCATCAGTTTGTTCTCTATAGTTAAGAGTCTGTTTCTTGGTTGTGTGTCTCTCTCTTTTTTCCCCCTTTCTCATTTGTTTTGTTTTTAAATTCCACATATGAGTGAGATCATACAGTTTTTGTCTTTCTCTGACTCACTTATTTCACTTAGCATTATACTCTCTAGCTCCATCCATGTCATTGCAAATGGCAAGATTTCATTCTTTTTATGGCTGAGTAGTATTCCATTATTTATATATACATACACAGTATATATAAATATATATACACCACATCTTCTTTATCCATTCATCAATCCATGGACATTTGGGCTCTGTCACTAGTTTGACTATTGTAAATAATACTGCTAATAACCATAGGGGTTCATATATCCCTTTGAATTAGTGTTTTTGTGTTCTTTGGGTAAATATCCAGTAGCGCAATTGCTGGATCATAGGGTAGTTCTATTTTTAACTTTTTTTTTTTTTTTTTTGAGAGCGAGAGAGAGCACATGAGCAGGGGTGGAAGGGGGGCAGAGGCAGAGGGAGAGAGAGAATCTTAAGCAGGCTCCACGCCCCCTGAGATCAAGAGTTGGACGCTTAACTGATTGAACCACCAGGTGCCCCAATTTTTAACTTTTTGAGGAAACTCCATACTGTTTTTTGCAGGGGCAAAAGTATTCTTTAATTCAAGTCTTTTTAATGACAAAAAAATCAGACTAAAATGGCTCAGCCTGAAACATGAACATATAACTAACAAGTAGCTGTATTAAACACAATGAGGTTCAGAACAAACCTTAATGTTCTGTGTGGGTCTGACGTGGATCTCTAGTATTCTATGTCTAGCATTGTTGACACCCATAGTCAGTTGTGGATAAAGGGAAAGTGTCTGTCCCCATTTGGTTTTTTTTTTTTTTTTTTTTTGGTTGTCAAATGATCCTTTATTGAAACATTTTCTTTTGTAGTTAACTAGCTGGGCATTCCACCGCACCACTGTTGATGTCATCTATGATGTCATGAGGGTGGCGGCCATCAACATTGCAGCCCACAGACTGGGCAGTCCCCAGGATTTCTTTAATGGTTCCAGAGAGTTCTCTGGCTAAAGATCGGTGTCGCATCTGTCGGGCAATATTGACAATCTCATCAAAAGTGATATTTCCACTGTGCTTAATGTTTTTCTTGGTGGTTCCTTGAGAGCTTTGATAATCAGGGCAGAGGCAGAAGGTACCACTTCAATCTGGGCCTGTCTGTTCTGAATGGTCGGTTTCACTCTAATCCGTAGACCCTTCCAATCACCGGTTGCCTTGGCGATGTCATCACCAACCTTTTTTGGAGACAGACTCAGTGGGCGGATCTTCAGGGCCAGGGCAGATGTGGCACTGACTTCGCCACCCATGCACCTCAGGTACACGACTTTGATCTCGTTGGGGCCGAACTTAGGCGGCATTGCAGGTGGCTGGTGTCAGATGAACCCGGATTTGGGACGACCGAAGAAAGTTGCACCTTTGCCTCCCCGAGCCGAAAGCCAAAAGCCCCATTTGGTTTTGATTTCCTTCCTCCATCACCCTGGTTATCACAGTCCTCAACACTTGTTTCACTCATTCTAGCTATCCTTCTTTCTTGTTTTTCCAGAACAGACCCATGTAATGCTGAAATTTCCAGTGCATGGTCAGTCTCAGCCTAATTCTGAGACAAAGTTCTGTCCCTGAGATGAAAGTGAGTGTAGATTTGATGCCCATAATATGGGCGTTGTGATAACCTTAATAATCTCTTAATATTTATTAAATGAATGGATGATCACTCTGGCTTTCACTGAAAGTGGGGTCTAGAAAAACTCTCCCCACCTGTGCAGAAATTGTTGACCCTAAACTGTTGTGTTTCCTATGCCACACCACCAAACATCATCCTGGCTCTTCCAGCCAGGCCTGCATTGTTTAATGCATACACAAAGCCATCTATACATGAGGACATCTATACACAAACAGTGTGACACTTGTTTGGGTGGGTCAGAGGTAATTTTTGCTTCGTTCAACGGGAGGGGTCACATTGTTCACTAGCAGATTGCAGATAGGAGAGCAGCTAATGTAGTTGTGAAGCAAATTAAAATCTGTGTAGGTTGAATTTCTAATTTATTTTACTTCAAACTCTGAATTTTTATTTGCCTATGGTCCATCTTTTCACACAGAGCTTTAAGTTTATGAACATGAAATGCACTAATAGCAACGATGTTTTTTATTAAATGTTCTCTGCCAGAGATTATAATACATGTCCAAATATCTGATGAAGAAAAACAAAGGGAGGAGATAAGAAATAAGTGACCTAAAATCAGGACTAAATTCAAAACAAGCTTAGTTTTGCCGTGAGTGAAAAATTTAAAATTTAGTTGCTCCATCTAGTGGTGAACCGTTATATGACTTTAGTGGAGAGCTTTTAGTTTTTCATGCTGGTTTTATTCAAAGTTTGTTCTGGTTAAGTAGAAAAAAATACTTAATAGACTCCCTGTCTTATTGTCCCACTTAAGTTAACAGAAAATTACCCCACATAAAAAGAAAACATCACTACTTAATGAATCTCATAGACTTAAAGACATATTTGCTAACCAACTCAAATTTCAAATCATTGTTTCTTCCTCAATTGGTCTACGAACTAGCATCATTGCTGATATATATACCTATAATTATATTTTTAACCCATATATCATCCTGAAATATGAGAAAATTTAGGCCTAACCTGGATTAATAGGCAAGAAAGGCTAATGAAGAGGTTAGCTCTTCAGCAGTTAAGAGCAAGAGTTTTTGACTCAGGCCTTCATAAGGCCTGAAAAGTGCTCCGAATTGTGTGAAAAATATCAGTCCAGTCAATAGGTGAAGGGGATTAAGAGGTACATACTTCCAGGTATAAAAGAAATGAG